ATTCCACTTCAGTGTTGTGCCGTGGCCCTGACACAGTACAGGGAATTTGTTCATGACACGTTTCGGGTGTTCTCTTAAATGCAGGCTTTCCGCCTCTAAAGCTAAGTTTCCTTTTCCTGTTAAGTGAAGATTCTGAACAATAAGAGGTGAAGTAATAGATCTTGACACTGTTGCATATGCATGATGCTAGAGAGAGAGAGAAGGGAATCCTTCATAGTCGGGAGCCTGGACAGACAACAGTTACCTTTCTGCTGGAGCTCTTACAGAACTTGTAAAAAACCACTTGTTTGCATGACCTGGTCAGTATCCTTGATACACCCATTTTTATAGCCCATTTTTAATGACTTAAGAAGAACTTGTTTAGGAAAGCATTGAGCAGTTCAGTATGCAAGTCATCTGGACAACAGGTGATGGAACAAAATGAATAGGAACTATTAAAAGAAAAATAAGATGCAGATAATGGGACTGAAATGTTCATGTTAATGAAACATACTTTTTAATTTCTCTTTTTTTAGTTTAATCCTATATGCTGTATGTTGTTTCTATTGTGTTTTCTTTAACTGCAATTATTATTCTCTCCATGTATTTAAATCAGACCCTTTGCTAGTGGAAAAATTCCCCAACATACCACTATTCTGCTTACTCTGGCTGCCTAGCCATTTATTAGACCAATTTTTTTATGACACTAAAACTTTTGCAGTCTCTTCTTACAGAAGAATTCCATAGCTGTCTCATGTGGCAGAGAGTGCACCCCTGTGCTTGTCCCAAAAGAATCCTCAAAGGAGTACTTAAATTTTAAAATAAGAGAGTACTTCGAAGTTACCTTTCATCATGGCCCGTATAGCTGTTTGCCTATAAGGTGATCTGACAGCCAGTGAGTAGTCTGGGCCTCTCTGCACTTCACTGACACTTTTAACATATGTGAGATATCCTGTTTCAACATGGGGAGCAAAAATACAAGTACTTAGCACAATTCCACATGCATTTGGCCTTGAACAGCATTTGAATAGCAGTTTTTCTGTGCCGTATCTGGTGTTTGTCTTAAAAGAGAGGTACAGCAAGGGAATACTAACTGCTCAGTTTTAGCAGGGGCTTTGCCCTCAACTTTTACGGTCCCTTTCTGTGGGCTGTTCCTCAGCCTGTGTGCCTCCTCTGGCAGAAATGCATCCCAAGCTTCTCAGGGGGGGCAGCTCAGAGTCCCAGACCATGCCTGACTAGAGGGAGGATCCTAATCCCTCACAGACTCCACTCGAAACGCTAGTTCGTGGGAACAGATACCGAGTGGCATTAGGTGGCAGCAAGTCCACGCTCTTCAAAAGGCGAATTGCCTTTCCCGGTGCCTGTGTTCTATGCTTCCTGCTGCATTTCCCGAACGCCAGAGTACTTCTGCTTATGCTGGTGGAAACTATTGTTCAGCTCTGCTGTTTGTCCTTCTTGTATTCTGTTCTGTGCTTTTTTTCATCTGTTCCTGAAAGCTGGCAGATGATTGCAGAAATCCAAAATGCCAAACCTCTTCCAAGCTCCTGATGCAAAGAGAAGCAGAGGAGCTTTCCGACCTGCTTTGGCTTTTGAAGCATTGTTTTTATCACCATTCCCCCTCGTCCTCACAACTTCCTAGTAAGAGATTGGCTGGCACAGGGCACTGGACATAAGCTTAGCAGAAGTTTACATGCTGTTACAGCTTCCTGTGGTTCATTTTCTCCCTCCTAGTGATCTGCTTTACACACGTATCATAACACAGTGTTCCAGACAAAGTACATTTTTAAACTGTTGATCAACCATAATGTGGAAAATTGGAGATTTTTTTTCTTGAAGTAGTTGACATCTACACTCTCTTATAAACATTATAAAAGATATGCATTCTATTACAAATCAATCCAAAGGGAATGTACTCTGCCATTATTGTGGAGTGTTGGGAACATGGTTCCCTGTCCCTTACGTGATTATCTTGCTTTTATCTTCATACCTAGCCCATGATAACTTTTTAAACTGTGTTTAGATTGCAAGACTTTTGTTTCAAGGATGATCTGTTTGCATTTTATGAAGGTCCACAACTACCAAACTGTGATTTTTATCAAAACTTCTAGTCTTTAAAAAAATTAATAGTAACAACAACAACAAGAGAAAACTTCAGAGTCATCCATGTAATTTATTTTTACAGTCCTGCAACATTAGTGTGAAAAATGTCCTGTATTGTTGTCAGGTATTGTTGTCATTCCTCACAAATACTGAATATGAGCAGCGAAAGTACCCATCCTCTGGAGCAAGCACACATTTCTCTCTTCTATACTCTGCGGTTAGCAGTAAGATCTAACAACTAGGATAGTGGTATATGTAACAAACACTCCTTTCTTTCTAATGAGTCTGTTAGTAGCAGTTGTACACAAACAGATATTGAAAAGCAAAATGTGGAATCATCAAGAACAGGAATGAGAATTGGAGAGTGTTTCAGAGCTGAAGATGTCAGACAGCTCTCTAAATCTAAGTAAAAAGTATCTGTTGCTGGAACGTGCAAAAAAAGCTGGTCTGTGATCCACTGCAAAAACTTACACACCCTTATGCGGTTTTGCCCATATCTTTGATCCAAAACAACTGTTTTGAGGAAGGGAAGATATTATGC